CAGACAATGAAAATCCAACATGTCCAAAGCACTTTTATACCTACATTGAATTTATACATTGCTAATTAGTAAAATACTTTCAGTTATTAATTAATAATGACAGATAATAATGAGGGTGAAGGTATACTGTACCTGCCCAACATGGTGTTGGGTTGCGCAGTGAAGATGGAAGGATCTACTACAAAGCGTGTGTTGTCAACAATCAGAGTGACTCTTTCTGAGGTCCTAATGTTTCGGTTTCCCACAGTGGCGCCCACTCCTCCCTCCTTGGGATTCTCGTAGACAAAAACCATTTCTCCAACTCCCAAGCTCTTGAAGGTGCCTTCAGTACTGGACAGGCTGCTGTTGCGACTGCTCACCACCCCGCTGCTGCTGGAGCCGCTGGGAGAGACTCTCTGAGGCCGTGGGCTACTGGGCCTCGATGACGGGCCACCATCTCGTTCACGGTCTGCATACAGACAGGCAGAACAATGATACAATGCATTTTCTATAATTTTGCAGCTTGATTTGTAGGTTTTGTATTATGCAATACCAGATTTGTTACCATCTTAGGCATCCACTGCTAGTAATAACTAATCTAAAACAACCAGACTGAAAAGGACCCTCCTCAGAACATGTGTCTCCTACCCAGACAACTGACTTGATCCATTTACAACCAAAAACGGCAGAGATATAAACCATCTCTGAGCTGCGAGTTGATAAATGCAGTCAGATGTTCTCGACAGTAGCTGCCAAGAGCCGTACGCCTCTAACATGATATCCATATAAGCCCTCTATTCTTTCCATGCACACTCACCACTGTTGTGTTGGCGGGTGGGTGAGGTGACGTTGCGAATGCAGGGGGTGAGCTGGCCTTCTCTCTCATGCGAGGAGTCCCTGGAGCGATCACTGGAGCGGCGGCGGTCACGTGAGCGGTCACAGCCTCCACTGGCACCATGCATGCTCATCTTCCTCTGTTCTGCCTCCACTCGAGATGCTCGGGCCTGACTTCTGCTTTTCAAAACAAAAGCATACTTAACATTCCTCTCTTTCTTTCTCAAGGCCAGAGGAGCCAAGGCATTTTACTTTCACCTTTAATGTCTGACATAAAACAAATATCAGAGATGCCTGAGCTTTGAATCACACAAGAGGTTTGTAACCAAACCTTGTAATCAAAGTTACAGAAAGACGTACACATAGAGTCAAGTATAAAAACACTGCAAAAGCACCAGACAACACTATGTAACTCTTCATTTTAGATTTGTTTCTGACAGGTCAAATCTGCTTACTGACAGAAAAAACATCAGAATACAAGCTATTGATTTCATAAAGGGGAGAAAAGGCGGAGGTGACAGACACAGCTGCAGGGCAATAATGTGCAGTCAGTACAAATCCACCCGCTGACCACAAGCAAACATGACAAGTACAGGGTACATCCCCCTTGGCACTGAGACCAAACCGACAAGTCTCAGCTCTTCCTGCCTATTCTGTTCTGCCATCATATCCGCCTTTCTATTGTTCCTCTAGTGTTAAAAAAACAAACAAAACTAGAACGCTAAAGGAAAATGAGCTCACAGGGCAGGAAGGAGGAACCGATGCCATAAAATAGATTAGGTTTTAACTTTAGTTAACAGGAGTGGAGAGAAATACTTTGAACACCTAAATGAACTTTGTTGTTCAGGTTAACTGAATTTCATTTTAATTTGAATTCATTTTGATACCAAATCGTACCAATTGTTAAAGTTTTATCTTACCTTAACCACACTAAGGGTGCATGTGGTGGTCCTTCTCGGCTATGACTAAGAGAAAGTGGAACATGTATACATACATGATGTATTTTGCACATTGGTTGATATCTGCTGTAACTCTGTGTCAGACTTAAAGCCACTTACGCTTAAGTCAACACATAATCATTTGATGCTTTTGAAAAACTAAACTGCCATTTGGAGAATTGTTATCTCATCAGTTACTTACACATATATCACGACATATTATAGATAATCATCTTCACATCACAGAATTACATCCCACCCCTCACCTATTGTCATGAGCTCTGTGCAGTGACTGAAAGAACGAGATCGCAGATGCAAGCTGCTGAAATTAGTTCCCTCCGTGGGTGGCTGGGCTCAGCCTTAAAGACAGGGTGAGGAGCAGAGACATCCGGAGGGAGCTCGGAGTAGGGGTGCTGCTCCTTCGCATCGAAAGGGGTCAGCTGAGGTGGTTCTGGCACCTGATTAGGATGCCGCCTGGGCCCCTCCCATTAGAGGTGTTCTGGGCACGTCCCACTGGTAGGAGGCCCCGGGGTTGACCCAGAACACGCTGGAGGGATTACATAACTCATGTGGCCTGGGAACACCTTGGGGTCCCCCAGGAGAAGGGACGTCTGCCCCCATGACTCGGCCCCGGATAAACGGATGAAAATTGATGGATGGATATCACAGAATTATCTGTGTCATGATGCCTTCATTCTCATGGGTAGGTTTGGGTATTGTGAATAAATCACAGGGCGTGTCCATATGAAGTTAATCTTATATAAACTAACCCGATACACAACATGTCAATAAAATAACTCATGTGAATCCAGTGAATTTAATACCCGGCCATTCAATGAACAAGGAATGTGTTATACAAATGTTAGAGATATCAAATATTGCCATTACAGTCCTGTTAACTGATCTGTAACATTACCCACACTGGCCTTATACAACCACTGATATCAAAGGTATTCTTATCTTGGTTACTTGGTTTGGCAAAATCAAGGCAAATTTATCACTGTATAAATTTACATACTGCCTTATTCTTGATGCAGATCTCCCTATCATCTGGTTACCTTGTAATAACTTCACAGACAGTTGTACTCTATACTAAGGTTATGCCTCTCACATAAGGAAAACAGGAGTCACGTACAACATAAAGTCAATAATCAGATATGCACACACCGTATGACTGTCATCTGATATTTGAAGCAGCTGTAAACAACACCTAATGTTTACTTTAATGCCACATCATCCCATATTATCATTCCACGTTTCAAGTAACAAATGTGTGACTAATCTATAATCCAGGATCAATCCCGTCCTGCCCTGTCTCCTGACAGTGAGTGACACTACATATCTGCCATGGCTCACCTCGAATGCTTGCAGAGTTTGCGAGGTCGGCTTGTTGCGTTTCGTTCCCAGTTTTCGGTGTCACTGGAGTTACTGTCATATGACTGCAGACGTGCTGCCATCACCCGTACATGGGGGAGTCTGGTCTGGATCTTTCACCGTTCATAATCTGGTTAATGGCGAAATCAACAAGTCAGATCCTCTGATCAGCCCCGAACAAACCACGGGCTAACGTTAGCAACTGTCAGCTAAAAAAATAGTTTGTCAGTGACTTCACGTGTGCTGTCGACTAGACTGTAAAAGAAGCTGGGGTATCGCAGTTGTCGTTGACGTTAAATGGCTGGATAAGTTTTTAACATCTCAGAACCAAATCTTGTCAACGTTGCTGTCAGGCTGAGTCAGCCTACGATTAGGATAGCTAGTTTGCTGCGTTAGCATACCTAGCTAGCTATTAGCTGGCGCTGCTAACGGTACAATACAACACTATTAGCATAATTTTCTGGGACAGATGTGTGGCTAGTGACGTTGTCCCACCTAACGGCTGTTATATACGAGGCAGATATGTCAAATAACATGGAAAATATCTACCTAGATGGCTACGTTTTCCGCTGTAGTGTAATCCCAATCTCTCACCAGCTAACCAGCCATCTCCTTTCAAAACACTCACCCAGCTGACGTCCGACGTAACGACCGTTAATGGCTTGACGTACTGACGCACACAAAGCTAGAAACGACAAGCTTAAATTAGCTGTTGCTAAACTTGCTAATTACATTAGCTTTGTCTGAAAAGTCATCTGGATTATAAAATAAAAATGTGTTGAAGGTTGTCGATTTGTTTTCCACAGCTGGTTGAACCAATTTTACTACTTCCTAAAAAGGGAATCGAGCGTTGACTGCCTGCTTCTCTCAGATCTCGCGAGATGTTGCGTTTCCGTGCGACAGTTACTTCCCTTTTTTTAAACTCACTTTATTTAAAATTTCTGCATATACAAAGGCATTACATCGAGTGAAGTAAACATAAAACCAAAGATATAAACAGCCACGGGGAAAAAGAAAATGAACAAAGGTACATGAAAAATTAGACAAATTAAATAATCACACAACAAGTTACGAATAGATGAAGCTGAAGGTCAAAATGCCTTAACAGATTTAACAGTTGATGTCCCTATGACTTACTAGGTAAGGGGTTGTGGATCAAATGACGAATTATAAGGAAAAATAATCTGAAGAACTCATATGTGATTGCTTTACATATACACATGTGATCAATAGTAGTTTATAAAAAAACTAAGATTAGTTTACTTGGAAAGAAATAGAAAGTGCTGGTAATTTTTGTTCAGTAGTTCAGAGTGTGGTTTCAGAGTCCTACTATAGTCACAGAGATAAGCTGATTACAAAATGATATAAAATCAGGTTTATTTGTAAGGGCGTAGCCCAATATCACATACAATGTTGATGGTTCCAACTCAAATCTTACAAGATGACAAAAAACTCCCCAAATGCTTATAAAATTAAAGAAACCTTTGAAAAGGAAATTCCTAAACCGTGCAAAGAAGCCAAAGATATGTAATAGATATAGTAAATTCAGTATCAAAAGGTCCTTTGTATACAGTATTGCAGTAAGATGGGACAAAGTTCTGAATGTGGGCCCAGTGTATTTCAAGGTGGGATGGGGGGTTGATTGTCTTTGATAACCACATGGAAACTGGTAAGATCGGCATCAAATTATTGATTTTTAAGCAAAATCACCATCAGAGAGAATTAAAGTCAAATATTACACTACAATTTAAACCTAAAAACAAATTTCCACATGAAAAATCTAATGCAACACAGCCTCAAACAATAAGAAGCAACAGTTGAAAGGATAGAAAAGCAAATATTTATTAGATCAATTTGTTTCAACTGTCACATCATCAGACCCTTTGCTGTTTTATCAAACATTTTTTATAGAGATCCAGAGAGATGAAAAAGTAACTGAAATATGTAACAGAGAACCAGAATAAGAGAAAATAAGAAGAACTTTTGCTTATTTATCAGGAAACACAGTGGAAATGATTGCCATTTCAATGTATTGATTCAGACATGAAATGTAAATTAAATTCTAAAGTTATTTGTTTGTAATGCAAGGTAAGATGATAGGATGATGATTTTAGACTCAATAAGCATCTCTGTTGAGCTTTTGTAGGTTCCAGCTCATGACAAGAAAACAAAGAGGTGACGGCTTATAGTGTTGAGGATAAACAGCTATGAGAACTATGAGTCTCAAGCAAAGTACAAGCAAAAATGACGTGCTGATCAGAACAAAAATAGAATTAAAAAAAAAAATTCTCTCCTTAAAAGTAATTACATGAGTGGATGCATTATGTGCAAGTGAAACAATAACATACAGTGCATGTAAGACTAGCTGCTTACAGTAGTTGGTCCTTATTTTCACATTGCTATACACACTAAACTGCATTTATTTAAAAATAGTTAATTTTGACACCTGTAGTCAGAACAGGAGAGTATGAGGTAATAGTTAACTTTTTAAACAATGTGTGTATGAAATCTTTTTCTTCAATATGGCCTGAGATATTACCTTTAATAGTTGCAAAATATTGTAAACAAATTAAATAAATTAAAAATGAATTAGATATTTAACATACCTATGAGAAATAAATTAAAAGAAAATAACAAAAACATGAATGAATAAAAAAATGAAGAATGAAAATATAAACACACAAAATAATAACAGCTAGAAAAAATTTTCTCACTGCCACATCCTCAAACTTTGCATGAGGCCTCTGTTTGGTAAGATTAAAGATAACAGTTGGGTTGTATTCAACCTTTCCGCAGGTGTGGTCCAAGAACTACATTTGGGAAAAGATTTTTAATGTTCCCTGATTGTCCATGTTGCGGTTTGACACTGGCAACAGTTATGCCCTTTAACTTTTCCTGAAGCCAGTCCTGTCTGTCTCCCACTTGTTTGTGCTCCCGAACGTTGTGCATAAGCTGCACCTCACTGATGCTTCTCTTTCTGTAGAAATAGACAATACCACAAGGAACAAGTCCATTATTAATTAAATATTAATTGTAATTTCATTGTCAATCAGTTATTTTCACTGCAAAGTCAAAATGATGATATGACGTCATGACGTTTAGACACAAACTAAAAACAGAATTTACCTCAGTGGTTTAGCTTCTATATGTAAACTGGTGAGGAAGAGGATCAGAACCAATGTTTCCAAGTACCTCAATGAAAACATGATAAGTATCTGAAACAAATTAAATAAGATAGTGGTTAGAAAATTATTTCATGGCCTCTCAATTTAATACTTTGTGGGGGTTTTTTATTATATCCAACTGTACAACAATATATTCAACTACTGATCCACTGTCATGCCATTCTTACCAGATTTTCTGTCCTTAAATCCAGAAAAAAAGTATGGCAGCTTTTCTTGAAATAGTACTGTATCAGTGCGGCAAAGAAGTCAAACTTGTTGATCAGTCTTTCGTGTGAGTCAGGTTCTCTCCTTTAAATACAGCGTAGCCCTCCCCTGGTCATCAATGAGCCATTTTCACGGTTGATGTTGATGTCACTTTTCAAATGCATCGATGGGGACAGGCATCTGCATGACACCACCTCCGCCACCACTCACTACTAACTCATCTTTCAACACCTCTGAAACTGACCTGTTGGTCACCCTGTTTATGAACTCGTTCCATGTTTTACTCTTCATACTGAATAATGAGACTTTTGTGCATCAGATGAAACACTTTCTTCGCTGATCTCTTATTAGATATATCTCGTGCAGTGGGGCTACAGTGAAAACATATACTCTTTGAAAAGGCAATGACTGTCAAGCTTTATTTATTAGCAATGCAATTTATTTTATGGTTCAACTCATGCAAGCATCTAAAGGTCATGCAAAGGTGCAACTGGGCCAGCCTGAAGGGAATAAAGCACAGAGACCAATCCAGTAATTATCCTCAACCACAGACGACCTCAAACGAGATAGCCATGACTGCTTAGTGCAGTGTGATCATGAAACTGCACCTGCTCTTTGACTGAATCTCTGCAGAGTTCTCCTACACTTTCCAAATTTCCTGTCACTGACAAAGTCTCACTGTAGAACCTGTCGATTACTACATCTTGCATCAGCTGTGGAGTGGTCACAGGCATCTGGTCTTTATCGAAGAAGAACTTATTATTCACATTTTGATTAAAACAACACTTCACTATAATGAAGGTCTACTCGTCCATGTTTGGGCCCAATTTGAAATTATACATATTTTTTCTTGAGCTGGTTGATGCACACTTGTTGCAGTATGACTGTGGATTTCCCCTTTTTGTATTTTCACACATGATAAGACTAAATTGACAAGACATTTGAGAAAAACATGCCCTGTCAAGCATACATTTATTCTTATTAAGTGTGTGAAGCAGCATTGCGGTTATGATGTATGGGTTGTGGATAACCTTGTCACTGTGTCACAAGATGCATTAGGTAACCATGAAAGACATTTTCTAAATGTGGCTAAGGAATGGCTATGCTATGACTGGAGGAATAGGTTGCCACAAAAGGACCTATATCTTTCTGTCATTAAGCTCCCCTGCACAATATGCTTTGTATTTATGTGTCCTCTAGCAGTTATGCACGTTTTCAACTTATATTGTTTCTTTTTTGGAGGGCTTTAATTTTGCTTTTACATTTTAATTGATGCTGTAACCACCAAATCATCATTAAAGGCTTTTTTTAATATAATGTCCCAGTTCACTCTACTAGTTCATGATCGAGTGTGTTATTTATTTTGATTGCTGTGCTTGAAGTGGCTCTATCCAATCGCATCATTAGAATATATCATCAGGCCATTTAGTGTCAGACTTACAAACTAAATTAATCCAACCACAAGTATTGGAAACATCTCCAAAGAAATCCATATACGTTGTAAGGTTGTTACACCTGCCTCCGACTGCTCCTTGGAGAAACAAATAGGTAGACTCATGTGGGGCCATGCAGTTGATGCTGACCTGTGTCTTTATCAGCTCTCTCCATCGTGCACGTAAACAGCACACAGCACCACCTGTGGTTTCAGTTAGGCTGGATTTTTTGTGCATGCGGAGTATGCTCAGGCGAGCTGCTCTCATTACCTCATGCGGGCACAATGTGACTCATCTCAGTAATGGTATGCAGCTGGTGTGCAAGAGGACTTGACAGGGATTGACGGGAAGAATTGCACGCAAATCATTAACTTGGGTCACCCCCATGTCACAAAGAAAGTAATGCACATAAAAGTAGCTTAGCTCTTTGATCTATTTATAAGTGTATTGGCTGTAAATAGGCCACCTCTATACATATTTGGGATTTGAAAGCTCTTTCATTGATTTCCAGACGGTTATATTTCCCGTACTTCCTGCTCATTTTGTCGTACCTGTTGTGTGCTGTATAAGTTATTGATTTTAGAAAGCAAATAGAAAGTGGTTACATTTGTTTTAATCCAATCTGTGGGATGTGTTTTCTTATTGTATGTTTTTTTTTTACATATCCAGGGAGCAAAAGATTATTTTCTCTGGCCTCTATATTACAAGTTTAAAGGTCTTATATTGAAGGACACCAGGACCCTTTAATATGTTCCCAGAAATCTATATATGGAGTTACTTTTTTTGTGAAATGAGGTCACCTCACTATCATGTAACGGAATAGGATATATTTAGATTGTTGACATCATCCCACCTTTGCTTGTTAAACCAAACAAACACATAGGATACATATCTAAACCATACTGCTTGTATAACAATTATAAATTTTATGAGGGGGGCAGAAGCAAGTGCAGCAATAAATCATTCAGATGTGTATCCAAGTCCTCTTGGAGCTCTTCAGCTATTTGCCAAACCAAATGTTTTTATTCTTCCATGAAACATGTTGGGGTATATGCCAGTCTTGTGAGTGTCAGTTTATGTGGATGCCCACACTCACATCAATCTATCACATACTTTTCAATGTCCATCTGACTACCCGGCACAGGTGGTGGTGGTGTCAAGTTAGTAGTTAGTATCTCTTCAGTGTTGTGCACATGAAGCACATGACAAGACAGAAAGAGCCCGACAGGACATGGCCAGCAGTGAACTGGTCGCTTTTTCTCCCTTATCATCGCTATCATAATCCTCATGCTCAACATGATAAACATCAATTAAATAATCTCTAATTCATGCTGTAACATAAAGTAATTTTTTTCTTTAAAGGGGAACTCCACCAGTTTTACATATCTGTTTACACACCGTGGGAAGTACTGGTGGATATGTGAATAAAGTTGCATAAAGCTTTGTGAAATCTGATAAATGTCCCAAAGTGATGTCAATTCTTCCAGCAAGGAATAAAAAAGATGATATCGCTGGTTCTGCCTCATAGATGGAGGAGTGCAATGCTAAATCTGTGGAATATTCTATTAAGTAGCTTTGATTTAGGAAAAAGCATTTAATTTAATGACATGTGACAGTAACAGTGCTTCAAACTTAAACAGACAGTACACTAGGGCAAACTATCTGACCGCTGTAACAAATCAGAAAACTGAGAAAGATACTGACCATGTACATACTGTATCCACAGCCTGGCCATAGAGACACAAGCAGTCCAGGGGCCATATTCACAAACATTCTGAGAATACTCTCAGAGAGCTCCATCCGTAGCCTAAGCATTTTTAGTAAGGAGTCCTAGCTTGAGTGTGATTTAAGAAAGTTCTCAGAGCAACTCTGAGCAAGATGGAGACAGGAACCTTTACCTTAGTGAGGAGGTGTGGTTGACCCCCGTTGCTAGGTGTGACACATTATTTTAACATATGTGATAGGTTGTCAGAAACACGCCCTTGTATCATTCCTTTGTCCCTGCTGCTATTGCTCTCCTGAATAAGTGACTGACCGGCTCTTCATTTTTTTTGTCTCTTGTTATTTATTGTTGCCTGAGTGATTGTTGTTTAATTGTTTGTTTATTACTGCTGGCTGTACAACAAATTGCCCCACAGGGATAATAAAGACTCCTTGAACCTTGAACCTTGAACCTTTTGTGATCCTGCAAGGTGTGGACACCCAGTGGAAATGAAATGAACTGCTGACTGTCAAAGTGTTGTTATTGTTAGTGTGAACACTCTGCTGATGGAAGGTTGAGACTGACTCAAGTCATCACTGCTGCACTGTTGCATTTTTCCAGTTTTTCAAATATCTTATTATCGTGATCATTTTATTTCCAGTGTTATAGCGTTAGGTGGGAAATGTGTGCGTATTCCTAATGACATCAGTCACAAATATTATCCATTTATGATCTAATCTGTAGCATTTCATTAACTTGCGTTTGGAGAACACTTCTCCTTCCTCTTTGTCTTTCTTCCATTCACTCTTAAACTGCTTAAAAGTCCTCCTCCCTGCTCCTAACGGTTTTTGACCTGAGGAGTTCTTTTAAGAGTTAAGACACCGTGAATAAGTTGTATCTTTACAAGAACCTAGTCTTAACTTTAAAGGGAAATTCTAAGAAAACGTCACAGTTCTAAGAATTTTAAATGTTTGTTTTGTACTCAGTACTAAGAGATGACAAATAAAAAACCTTTGACCCTTGACCTTTGATATGAAGACATCAGGACAAAGTTCTTTGCAAAAATTAAATGTAAATTTCAAGATTTTGATTTACTCTCTGACCAGACTAAAATGCAACATTTGCTTGGAGAAAATACTGTCAGCGTCACAGATGCAGCAAGACATGTCAGTGCATGTCACAGCCTAAGAGACAGCCAACACAACAACATGTAGTTCATCTCATCATAGATAACACTCTGCCTTTTAATTTACTCCTTCACTTAATATATTCACTTTTAGGTCATTTTTGAATGGCTGCACTGCTCCATCAAATGGAAAAATTCTTGATGTCTTGTGCAGAGTTTTCATATTTCCCCAAAATTCGGCCTGACCCTGATTTCTACTAAGTTCTGCAGGTTTAGTTTCATGTGCTGAATAGCCTGAGTTAATGAGATAACTGCTGATCTCGACTGCACAGGAAAAATATGGCAATCTGCAAAGAAAGAATCAAAACAAAAACATTCACATAGAAGATGTATTGACACAAAATAAAACCTGCAGGAGGCTGGTAAGGCAGCAGTCAGAGGGACTGTTTCTGCTAGGTTTTCTTACACCTTCATTTATCCAGGGGAAGTTAGGCGTGTACACATGCTCTTTTCTGGTTATGCTCTGCTGGATGTTCATACCTGAAAGCTCCCCAGTGAGACCTGTTTTTTTTTTTTTTACTACTGCACCTAAAACAGCTTTAGAGGTGTAGCTTTCTTAACGATCAAGGTTTAGGGATTAAGGGTCAAGGATCAATGATTCTTTGTTGTCATCCCAGCCATGCAAATACATAAAAAGAGAGAAATGCATAACTCAGGTCTCGCTGATCATTAAACAATGAACATTATAAGAAAACACTAAGTCAAAAATAAGTAACTAGCTAAATAAATGGATAAATAAAGTGAGCAGTGCAGCATGCAGTCAGCACACACACACATACAACAGCAACAATGGCAGTACATTGGTAACTGTAAGTGTTGGGGCTTTGTAACACGTTTGTTTTGCTCTGTGTTCCCTTCTGAAACAAACTCAATTGTCACATTTTCCTACAACTGCACATCATAATTTTAGGTTCCATCCACAAGAGGTCGCTGTGGTCCAACAGTTGAGTTAGGAAGCATTCTCTGTAATTCCCCTTTAAACAAGTTATTATCAAAACACTTTGATTTAAAGACTTCTAAAATCAATGTGTTTAGAACAACACTGAGTTTGTTCTCTGCACAAGGTGATCCAAAAATGATAAAGTACAACAGTATGAAAACACAGAGAGGGGTGATAATAATGAAACAAGGCTGACAGTGCAACAACAATAAAACCAAGGGCAGAGAAAGAAAGAATGACAATCTAAACTTGTAAGTCGAATTCTCCCAACATCCAGGCCCGAGAGGATCACGTCATCTACAGCCACTGAATTTAATACCAGGCTATCAAGGGGTGTTTGACCCACACCAGCTGCAGAAACCTTTAAAACCACTATTAAAACTATGGCTCTGTTGGAAGGTTTGTAAGATACACATGAGATGACACACCTTACTGCAGTCAGCTATACTTCATGATGCCACCTGCATGATTGCTCCTGGACTGTAAATCCAAGTCTGTATAGTACCATTTTCTATAATAGCTCTGATCAACAGCAGCTGTGTCGTCAGTGGTCATGCATTTGTGAATTTGTATTTCGTATATTTCATTTGCGCTTTATAAAAAACAGCACTTTTCATCAACACCAGAAACACCACAGCCAATCCAAAGTGGTGTGCTGTACATACTGGCTGATATAGACATATTAAGACAAGGCACGTTCATTTGTATGGCATGTTTCAACATCATTGCAAAGTGCTTTACAAAAGACAGAAAGGTATTAGAAAAGACAAAAGAAAACACAACAATATGGAAAACATATACATAGGATTTTAAGGTAGGTAAAATAAAATAAGACAAAATATAAATTACAATACAGCTACAGAACAATATATAAATAAATACTTCAAATGCAGTGGCAAACAGAAAAGTTTTAAGCCCTGAACAGAGAGTTTGAACAGACCTCAAGTTTTCTGGGCGTTTGTTCCATATATGGTTTATGAAACCTGACTACTGCTTCTTTTTTAGTTTTGACTCTGGCTGACAAGCTGAGAGGTCTGGACCGTTCAAGATGTAACAGCAGATCAGAAATGTACCATGACCCTAAACCATTTAGTGCCTCACAAACCAACAGTAGTATTTTAGAATCAATTATTTGACAAAAGGGAAGCCAGTGTAAAGATGTAAGAGCTGGAGTGAATTTAATCACTCTTGGTCTTGGTGTTCTGAATCAACTGCTGCTGTTTTCTATTGACTTTTGTAAAGACAGCATTGCAGTTGAGTCAAGTGAAGATAAATGCATGGACAAGTTTTTCTAAATCCTACTGAGATATAAGTCCTTTAACTCTTCATAGTTTGTTTAGGTTGATTTTCTAATTGTTTTAATGTGCATGTAAAGATGTTGTAACATTCTGGAATGTGTTACATTTCCTGTTTTATTTTGAAGTACTAACCTCTTGTGTCATTGCAGTTTCCTGTGTTATCCTGCCATTTATCAACCATACCTGCTGCCAATTACTCACCTGCCACTGACTATCCTCTTAGCCATCCCTATGTATATATACCAACCAGCTCCTCATATCAGATTGTCTTTGTTCCTTTGTGTCATAGCTTTATAGCAATCTCTGTGTTTGGTTCCCGGGATTTTTTTTTTACTTTGCCTGTTTTGGATTTAAGGATGTTTTGCCGACTCCCTGTCTATTTTGTTAGCTTTTTAAGACTCCTTGTTTGTGTATTACCTTTTTGGACTGAAGTGAAGACTGTGCTTTTTTAAAACCCTACTCCGCCTCCTGTGTGTTCTCTGAATTTGAGACTGAGTTTTTACCAGAGTTATTACAAATTTAGGCCTGAGTCCAACACTCCACCAAGATTTCTGGCTGGGTTTGTGGTCTCTAACTGTAGGTGAACACAAACTTTTAATCATTCTTTTTTGGGTACAAAGACAATCACTTCTATGTAGCTGGTGGAAATTTTGTCTTGTATAAGACCATACACACTTGGTGATATTGTTACATAATTATAGTGAGATACTTTGTTGTTTTCCTCTATACAATATCAGGGGCATGTAGATTTGCAGAAGAGGCCGAGAATGGAGCCTTGGGGAACTCCACGTGTCATTTTTGCATGCACATATGTGTAATTGCCCGTTAACAAAAAGTAGTCCCTGTCCTATTAGGATTCAAATCAGTGTAGCCCAGTGCCAGAAAGTCCACCCACTTTCCCAGTCTATAATTTAGGCCTACATCGTATGCAGCGCTGAAATCTAGTCCTGAAACTTTACCACTTTCTATGTTTCAGTAGATGATATTCAGGATCTTAAAGGTCCAGTTTGTGGAATTTAGGGGCATTTATTTGCAAAAAATGTGTATAATATTTATAACTATGTTTTCATTCTTTTATAATCACCTGAAAATAAGGGCCTTTGTGTTTTCGTTACGTTAGAATGAGTTGGTCTGCTCCCACAGAGTCTGCCATGTTGTTTCTACAGTTGCCCAGAACAGACGAATCAGAAAGTGGTTCTAAATAAGGCCATTTGCATTTCATGTTGGCCACTGTAGCTGCCTAAATGCTTGTCACATGGGAGAAGTTAGTTCTGCAACACTTGATGCAACAAAGTCCCACACACTAGACCTTTAAAAGAGCAGTCTGTTTGGCCTAGTTCACTGCTGACTGGAAAACATTAAACAATTATTTAGGGCCAAGAGGGTGTTATGCTGTTGAAAACAGCCTTTGATTTTTCTTAAAAGTGAAAGGTTTGATATGGGCCTGTAATTGTTGTCCAGATTATTCTCTTTAAGAGTGGCTTAATAAGCGCAGTTTTTGGGGCCTGTGGGAAACAGTGTGAGAGTAGACAAGTGTTGACTTTGTAGAAGATCTGATGCCACAAAGTTAAAAACATTTCTGAAAAGACCTGTTGGCGGAATATCAAGGCAGCAAGAGGATGATTTCAGATGTTGCACAGTGTACTCCAAGGTTTTGTAGCTGAAGGGATTGGTGTCATGCAAATTAAACTAGCTTTAAATGTATAAGAGGACAAACTCTATACTTGGTGTGGAGTAACTGACAGCTTGTCTAATTTTCTGATTTTGTCAGTAAAGAATGAGGCAAATCCAGTGCATATGTGTAAAAGTTAAGGGGCTACTGACACAGAAGGGTTTGTCCTCCTGTCAACAGCTGTAAATGAGTCAGATGTATAATTACTGCTTTTGGCAATGATATGAGAAAAAAAGGACTATCTTTAATTTCTTAGTTCACAATTAAAAAGCCAAAGTCTCTACAATTATCACAACACTTGCATTCAGCTGTTCTACTCTCTCTTGTATTCATATTTACCAGCATGGCATTTCTCCATGATGTTTACTTTCCTACCAGAGACCACCTTTGCCTTAGTGGGGGTGATGGCATCAATAACATTTTGAATTTTAGAGCTGAAATTATCTCCAAGATCACTGAGTGAGACTCAAGCAAAGGGCGGGTGTGCAAGAGAAAGCCTGAATGAATAATTCACTTGTGTTTTCAGTAATATACTGAAACTCTGATTGAACATTTGTGTGCACAGCAGTACTCATCTAAAAAAAAACATGGGAAGGATCAGAGAGAGGGAAACATTAGTCACCATAACCAATCAGAAGACATTCCACTTACCAAGGGATTCTTGCACAATGGCAACCGAATGGTTTAGCAGTTTAGGCTTGCATGTTATAGTGGAGACTACGCATCCTGTACAAATTGGTAGTACATTTGATTTACATTTACATACACTGCAATTGGTGATTAAGTTCTGCAACGGAGGTTTAAAACTGTGAGATCACTATTTGGACCCTATTTCCCTGTAAATAATTATTCATGACGCTGAATATGTTTTAGATAACACAAAACTATGTTTACCATAAAATACTCCGGTTATTATTCTCTCTCCAGAGCTCACACAGGTTCCCACTGTTGTTTTACTGTTTTACTCGTTGCCATGGAAATGTTCAACTATCGCTGCTGTCATATAAGTTGATGAATAGTTACTACTCCTCTGTTCCTATAGATAACAAGATCTAAACCAGGATAACTAGATATATGGGTACTCGTATAAAAAAACAGAAATGTTTGTGAATAAGGACAGAACTGTAACTCAATAAATTGGGCATTACTTACATTGGAAGACCTTCTTTTGTTGCTTTTCAGCCATTTTATTTTTACCCTTGTTCACTGCCTGATAGGCCGCAATAATTAAAATGTATTTTCAGTCCCTCTCCAGCCTGTACTTAAACATATTTCTGTATTGTGATGTGGTTGAATATTATTTCTGGCCCACACAATTCAAGTTACATTTTAATAGACCTAACTATCAATAAATATTTTACACGTCAGTGAAGTCTGCTGAAGTGTGCACCCCTAGCAGACTCTCTGGAAGTCTGCAGAAAGTCCAGTTGAGGCCCCCTTGTGGACTGGTTGAATTGTGGATTTGGACAGCCTCAAACACTCCCAGACTTCCTGGGAATGGGGCCGCAAAGTCCGCGAGTCTGCAAGTGTGGACATTTGGATTCAGCTAGTGACTATGTTTAGTTGCTCCATGTGCTTCCATTGCAGCTTGTTCTGCTGCTGCCAGTCGCTGCTGGCTCCCTCAATACTGGACCAATTTCAAAAATTGTCAGTCTCTTTGATCAATTTACAAAGGGAAATAGGGACCAGGTTGAAAAATGCAGAAGTTGTCCTTTAAGAGTTACCTAATAAACGATTTAATACACATGATAAACAAATTAGACTCTTTTTTTCTCACCTTAAATAAACCACCCAACAGTCCCCCTATATATAGAATGGTATGTGAAATAAGGCAGGTAGGACTGTGGGGTGAGTCATGTGGGTTAAGCAGTGTCTGCTTTGAGATGAAATGAAAAATGCCACAGCAGTATTGTCTGGGGTAAAAACAGTGCAAAAACAGAATACTGAAAATACTACAGTACTGTGCTGGCATCCACTTTTAGATTAAGTGAAAAACACCTCCTGCTGGGCTCCTCCAGAACTCCCGTGTGGTTCGATAGGAGAGAAATACAAAGGCAGTGAGAAGGTTTCAGAGCAAATGTAATTTAAAGTAGAAGCAGTGCATCCAGGTGTATAAATATATGAGTGATTTCATCAAGGCACAATGCATTTTATCTATCATTGCCAAATCATTTATTTCATGATGTATAGTGTTTCCTGTTCACATCATTGCTCTACACTTGTTTGAATGCATGCTATAGTATACAGTACCTCGCACCAGTCTCTGCCATCCGAGTGTTGGTGGTAGCCTTAGATTCCTAAAGTAATATACCATGGCATGCTTTGTTACACCCTCAGACACACTGGCATGCATTTGTGAAATAGAAATGTATTAAAGTTTACTTTCCTGCCTTAAGGACAAACTATTGTAGGGAATAAATATGAGCAACAACAAAAAACACTATAACAGCAAAATGTAGCACTGTTTGTGGTGCCAAGGCCGTGATGATTGCTGGAGGAAAAATGTTGGGTACAGATGAGGAAAAAACATAAAATTCCTCCTCAGCAGGTTACAGGTGATGTAGCACTCTGCTAAAGTATATTCTGTCTACAAAGTCCACTTTATTTTCTTGCATGTGGTGCAACTTCTTAAATCACTTCATCTTGAATCACAGAAATTATATCAATGGATGTGATATATGACGCAACTTCATTCATTATTGATGCTACACCCAACGGTTATAAAAATGCCTGCTAATTGATATTTATTCTTGATGTAGATTAAATGAATACACACAAAGGTGGTCTGACAGCTGCCACTTCTCCAGAAAGGCTTTTCATATATTTGTTTGGATCTGTGCCGTGTAAATGTTACCTTGATAATGATAATGTATACTGAATCAAGCTGAGCCACTGCTGTGCAAGCAGAATGTCAGAGTTGGCTCACTAACCGAGTTTTCCTGCTGTGTGAGACGCAGACCTCACTCACTGGTCTGATGGAGAACTACCTGTGGAGGTGCTGCTCTCCGCAGAGTGGGTCAATAGTTCATACTTGGGGTTAAAATTTAATTAGTTAACAGTGCTGGTGTTCTCATTTTGTCACTTTTTTTATAACTAGCACAAAATTTGCCTGAATCGCCTTCAGGCTGTTTCCACCAAGAATCATCACCCAGCCTTTACTGCATATTTTATTTATAAACCTACAATAACAGACGCTTATGGGTGCAGCAGAAAGAAGATATGAACACAACATTGACACATCATTACCTTATAAGCTGTTATGGAAAATAGTTGCTTATTTACACATCCAGCAGTGAAAGAGCAACATAGCAGATTATTTGGATCCATGTTGTTGGTCATCCAACAAATATAAGTCCAATATTTTCCCTCTGTAAGATCTGTTTTTTAATCTCTACCAACCTGAGCGATATATCTGGCTCTCATGCTCCACTTTGTTCACCTGCTAATTGGTAATTGTGTCTGTATCATTAGAGTGGTATGTATCTTCAGCCTGGTCTCACTCCTTGGGA